AAAAAAAAAAAAAACAAGGTAAGTGGCTAATGGCAAGAGATTTGGGGAAAAAATTGAAGGACTGCTAACAAGAAAAAGAGGTTTTATAAATGGATCGCTCATAATTGACAAAACATTTTTGCTCCTTGTGAATAATACTCTGTATCATAGGAGATGAAGTGCCCCAACTATACTTCCCAGACTCCTTTGCCAGAGGGTTCTGAATTAGAGTCCGCCAATGAGAGGCTCTTATGGGAGATCCTGAAGGCACAGGGGGAGGAGAAGCCCTTACTCTCCCGTCAGGGTAAACTGCAGACTAAGGTTTATAGCACTTCAAGGCACATTCCTGCGAATCATTATTCCCGTGCTATAGAGATGGATTGATTGCTTGTGTGCCACACACACAGCTATTGGTAGCCAAAATCATCACTGTCTTCTCTCTGGGATTCTTACATATAAATATTAGGATCATCTTATCAAATTCTATTTAAACTCTACTGACATTTTAATTGTAATTTTGTTAGTTCTAAAGATCAATTTGAGAAAATTGACAGCTTTCAAATATTAAAGCTTCTGGCTTCGTGCTTACAGCTCAGTGGCTAGGGTGCCAGCCACATACACCAGAGCTGGCAAGTTTGAATTCAGCCCAGGCCTGCCAAACAACAATGACAACTGCAACAAAAAATAGCTGGCACTGTGGTGGGTGCCTATAGTCCCAGCTACCTGGGAGGCTGAGGCAAGAGAATTGCTGAAGCCCAAGAGTTGGAGGTTGCTATAAGCTATGATGTCATGGTACACACAAAATACACACCTACCATCATACTTAATGGTGAGAGATCAGACGTTTTCCCTTAAGATCAGAAACAAGACAAGGGTATCTGCTTTTACCACTTCTGTTCAACATCATACCAGAAGTTCTAGTCAAGGCAATTAGCAAAGACAATAAAATAAAAGTTATCCAGATTGGAAGACAAGAGGTGAAACGACCTCTATTTGCAGATGACATGATCTTATGTATAGAAAATTCAAGGCTGGTTGCAGTGGTTCATGCCTGTAATCCCAGCACTTGGGAGGCCAAGGCAAGTGGATTGCCTGAGCCCACAGGTTTGAGACCAGCGTGAGCCAGAGTGAGACTCTGTCTCTAAAAAATAGCCAGGCACTGTGGCGGGCACCTATGGTCCCAGCTACTTGGGAGGCTAAGGCAAGAGGATCACTTGAGCCTAAGAGCTTGTGGTTGCTGTGAGCTATGACATCACAGCACTCTACCAAAAGTGGCTCAGTCTCATGAAAAAGAAAAAAAAAAGAAAAGAAAAATCCACAAAATTAATAGAAGCAAGGTTGCAGGACATAGGAACAATAAACAAAAATCAACTATACTTCTATACAGTGGCAATGAAAAGTCAAAAATTAAATTAAGAAAACACTTCCGTTTGCAATAGCATCAAAAAGAAGAAAATACATACTTAGGAACGAATTTTGAATAAGTGTAAAACTTATACTCTGAAAACTACAAAACATTGTTGAATGATGTTAAAGATGACTAAAATTTGAAAGATGCCTGTATTCATGAATCAAAAGACTTAATATTTTTCAAATGTCAATATTCCCCATGTAGATCTACAGATTCAGCAGGGTTCCTATCAACATTCCAACTGGATTCTTCATCAAAATTGACAAACTGATCTTAAATGTCATATGGAAATACAAGGGACCCAGAATGGCCAAAATAATCTTGGAAAAGCACAATGAAATTGGAGGACTCATACTTCTCAATTTCAAAACTTACCACAGAGCTGTAGTAATCAAGATAGTGTGGTACCAGCCTGAGAACAGACTGGCAGATGGGTAGACCAGAATTGAGAGTCCACAAACAAACCTATCCATCTGTGACCAGATGACTTTCAACTGGGGTGCTAAGACAGCTCGATGGGGAAAGAACAGACTTTTCAACAAATGATGCAGAGACAACTAGATGTCAACATGCAAAAGAATACGTCTGGAACCCTCCCTCACACTCTGTATGAACTATTAACTCAAAATGGGTCAAAGACCTAAATGTAAGAGCTGAAACTGTAAAACTTAGAAGAAAACACAAGCAACTAAAGAAAAAAATAGGTATGTTGGACATAATCAAGATTTAAAAATTGTGTGTTTCAAAGGACACAATCAAGGAGGTAAAAAGCATAATATCCTTACAATGGGGGGAAAAATTTCACATGAGCTATCTTCTAAGGTAATTGTACCTAGAATATATTTTTAAAGATCCCTACTTCTCAATAATAAAAAGACACCCCAATTTAAAAATGGGCCAGGGATTCAAATAAATATTTCCCAAAAGATATACAAAGATGTATACCAATGAGCATATTAAATGATGTTCGGCACCATTAGTCATTAGGAGAATGCGAATCAAAACCCTGAGATACTGCTTCAAACCCATGAGGATGGCTATGGTCAAAATACAGATAAGTGCTGGTGAGGATGTGAAGAAACTGGAACAGTGATACATTACTTGTGGCAATGTAAAATGGTGCAGCCACTTTGGAAAACAGCCCAGCAGTTCTGTTCCTCAAATGGTTAAATATATAGAGTTATCATGTTACTCAACAATCCCACTCTGGCTTTGAGAGTATCCAAGAGAAATGAAAACACGTGACCACACAAAACCTGAACAAAAAATTTCACAGCAGCACTATTTATAATAACCCCAAAGAGGAAACAACCTAAATGTCCAATTGACACACGGATAAATGAAATGTGGTAGAGTGGGATATTATCTAGCCATGGAAAGGAATGGAGTGCTGGTAGGTCCTGCGACCTAGATGAACCCTAAAAACGTGATGCTAAGATAAGAAGCCAGTTTCAAAGGACCATGTTTACATGTGGTCAGTGTCCACAGAGATGGAACCCAGTTGGTGGTTGCCAAGGATTGGGGAACTGGGAATCTTAGGGGAAAATGGGAAGTGACTACTAATTAGGTATGAGGTTTATTTCTGGATGATAAAAAATGTTCCTAAATTGATTATGATGATGGCTACACAACTTTGTGAATAAAACCCACTGAACTGTATACTTTAAATAGGTAACTTATATGGCATGTGAATTATATGTCACTAAAGCTGCTCAGAAGAGGGGGAGTAAAGGGGAGAGAGAGAGATATCAGAAGCCATCATGCATTTCTCAAACCCGTGAGCTCAGGGCAATCCACCCACCTGGGCCTCCCAGAGTGCCAGGATTATAAGCATAAGCCACCACACTCAGCCTCATCACAAGCCTCTATCATTTCTATTGGGCCTTGAGGTCTGATCAAATCTTGTTTCAAGTATGCTGTGTTAAGTTGTTATGGTTTTTGGGTTTTTTGGGTTTTTTTTCTGAGACAGGGTCATGCTCTATTGCCTGGGCTACAGTGCAGTGGCATGATCACAGCTTAACTCAAATTCAGTCTTGGCCTCAAGTGATCCTCCCACCCTAACCTCCCAAAGTGCTAAGATTATAGGCATGAGCCAATGTACCCACTGGCCTTTGCATCTCTGAACCAGATGTACAGGGAGAAATTCAGGGTCTGGTTCCTATCAGTTATATCACCAGTGGATCCATAAAAACCCTGAAAGTAAACATGAAATGATACAGCAGCCTGTTAACTTAAAAATACCACTTAAAAAGTTCAGATCCCTTCGATACAATTACATAATCAATGCAAGAAAGCCAAAACTTTGCCAAAGAATTCTGTTTCACATGAATTCACTTCAATAATCAAGTCTCATTAAAATTCCAAGGGAAGGACAAATATAGCCACAAAACAAAGCAAAAATATCTGGTACTCATAACAAATGGTTTCGATGGTTTTAGAGTAAAAATATTTGTTACCGGGAAGGAATGAGTTGGGAAGAAAAGTTGTTAAGAAACCGAAACAGCATATAAGATTCCTGAGAGCGTTTCTAAATAATTTTTCTACTTTGTACTAGAACCAGCATCATAGGGATAGTTCCACTGCTGTGAGATGATAACAGCTACCATTTGTTGCGTGCTCACTCCCTCCCACCCAGGGCCCCTCCCTTGATCTTCATCTGCAACTAAAGTGGCTACAGAGAGCATCCCGAGTTGTCCTACAATCCCTCCTCTGTCCTGTAGCTCTCAAAATCTTCTAACTCTGAGAGGCATCCGAGAGCTGGGGTTTCTTCTAAGCCAAACTCCACAGAGTCAAGTGTTTTTCAGCCCTATTACAGTGATTTTCTAGATTTTTTATGGGTATATAATAGTTACACTGCTATGAACCTTCTCCTTTTTTTTTTTTTAGACAGAGTCTCATTTTATCGCCCTTGGTAAAGTGCCATGGCATCACAGAAACCTCAAACTCTTGGGCTAAGCCATCCTCTTGCCTCAGCCTCCCAAGTAGCTGAGACTTACAGGCACCCCCACAATGCCTGGCTATTTTTTTTTTTAAGAGACAGGGTCTTGCTCTGGTGCAGGCTGGTCTTCAACTAGTAAGCTTAAGCAATCCACCTGCCTCGGCCTCCCAGAGTGCTGGGATTACAGGCGTGAGCCGCCGAACCAGTTTTGTTCATCCAAATGAATGCTGAATGTCGAGTATCTTACAGTTTTCCAGAGACTGTTCCAGGCACTCAGGTACAGAAATTAAAGATATGGAACACCAACCTCAAGGCAGTGAAGACAGCAAGTGAGGAAGACAGCAGAGACTCAACAGAGTAGAGAGCGTGAGAGTGGGGTGTCAGGGAAGACTCTGGAGGAGGTGACACTTGAGCTGAACTTTGAAGGCTGACAAGGAGTTCAAAAGGAAGGAGGAAAGGCATTCTAAGTACCAGAATAGCACGAGCAAAAGCACAGGCAAAAGCACAGGGATGGATAGGAGAACATGGCCTATCCAGGGACTAACAGAGAGTTGATGGCTGCTGGGGAGGTACAGTGCAAGGGTAGAGAGGTCAGCAGGGTGTTCATCACTGAGGGTCAGACTAAGGAGGCTGGAGTCGTCCAGATGAGGATGGATAACACAGAAGGAGTGGTCAACGAGTCGGCCATTCAATCCATGCAGTCCTCACCTGCTAGACTCTTTACCCCAGATCCAAATAACATCCACAGCATTCAAGGCCTTTCGTGTGTTGTCTGCTCTAAAGAGGCCATGGATCCCGTGGGTCCCCGTTCTCTCCCCATCCCCGCTCCTCAGCAGACCACCCTCTGCCATCTCAGGCTGACCCAAGTGCCCACTTCCTCCTCGGCTGTAGGGCTGGTGCACATTGATGTACTTGGGTCTTAATAGCAGCAGGGGGCAGAAGAGAACCATAAATACTCCGGACACCTGTGTCCCAGCCAGATAGAACAATCCCCAACACAGTCCTTGGGCAGCACTTCTCAGATGTTCCTGTGCACATGAATCCAGGGACCTGGCTAAGATGCAGGCTCTGGGCAGCTGGGCAGCAGACCAGAGACCGTGCACTTCCAACAAGCCCCCAGGTCGCGCCCATGCTGCTGGCCCCACTTGGAGAGCAGTGCTTTGCATACTGAGGGAGGTGATCTCTCTCTCTTTCTCTTAAAATTTTCCAATCTGTCACAGACCAATACTTTCAGAAAACAAAATTAAGATGAATTATAAATAAACGAAAAAGAAATTTTTTTGAGACAGAGTCTCACTATGTCGCCCTCGGTAGAATGATGTGGTGTCACAGCTCACAGCAACCTCAAACTCTTGGGCTTAAGCGATTCTCTTGCCTCAGCCTCCTTCGCAGCTGGGACTACAGGTGCCCGCCACAGTGCCCAGCTATTTTTGTTGTTATTGTCGTTGTTGCAGTTGTCATTGTTGTTTAGCTGGCCCAGGCTGGGTTTGAACCTGCCAGCTTGGGTGTATGTGGCCGGCGCCCTACCCACTGAGCCGCCAGTAAATGAAAAATTTTTAAAAGACATTCAAAATATAGTCCTGCCTTTGCATACTGGATTCAATAAACACAATATTACACTACCAAATTACACAGCGAACCCGCCCATCATTTCCTCCCACAAACGACCCTAATTGCAGAAGCATGAGCAATCCGGGCACGCTCACAGTCGGGTTTAACTTCTACCACTACATTTTATGGGCGAAGCAGGGAGGAGGAGTACTCCGAGAAGCCAAGGAATGTGCTTTCAGGCTTCATGAATACATTCCCCACTAGAATGGAGTTTACCAAACAGTTTTTGATGAGCAGAGTGCCCTGCGTTTGAGCACCTACCTTGCCACTCTTCCTCGAAGATCTCCCAAACCAGAGAGCTGACGCATCTCCAGGGTCTTTAAGGCAGAATTAGTTCCATAGCTAATGTTGTCCCTGGCACGGATCTGCTCCTGGAGTACCTGGGCAACACAAAAAGCCACCAAGGGATGCATTTGAGAATTTACACGCTGCCACAGATGCATTTTATACTTTTGGCCAAAATATGAACGTTTAATTCGCTTTTTCCATAAGCAGCTCTGTTTTAACACTTACCTGATAAACACATATAAAGGAACCAGGGTGCTTAGAAAAAGAGAGAGTGATCTCACGGACTATTCCCAGACCAAGTCTCTTAATTTAATAATAAAAATAAAGTTCCTTTATTTTTTACTTTATTTTTATTATTTCTTCCTTGATAATGAAGTCTTCTTTCCCTCTCCCCCCCTTTTAAAGGACCTAAAGGGGTCCTGCTGTATTCAGGCTGGTCTTCAACTCCTGGATTCAAGCAATCCTCCTACCTCGGCCTCCTGAGTAGCTAGGATCCCAGGTGACAGCCACCACTCCTGGCAGCACTTACTTCTTAATCTAGCATTGGCAGGGTCCACAGGTTGTGTATGAAGTGTTTTCTCTTTTATTGTTTTGATTTCAGTTTAGAATCCCTCTTTGATCTAAGGATAGCTAGGTACAAAAGGATTACTTAAAAACACATTTTTGGTGGCGCCTATGACTCAAGGAGTAGGGTGCCGGCCCCATATACTGGAGGTGGTGGATTCAAACCTGGCCCTAGCCAAAAACTGCAAAAAAAAAAAAAAAGCATCTTTTCATTTTGATTATTTGTTGCCTTATGATAAAAATATGCTCTGGCTGGCGCAGTGGCTCACACCTGTAATCCTAGCACTCTGGGAGGCTGAGACAGGTGGATTGCCTGAGCTCACAGGTTTAAGACCAGCCTGAGCCACAGCAAGACCTTGACTCTAAAAATAGCAGGGCATTGTGGTGGGTGCCTGTAGTCCTAGCTACTTGGGAGGCTGAGACAAGAGAATTGCTTGAGGCCAAGAGTTTGAGGTTGTTGTGAACTATGAAGCCACAGCACTCTCCCGGGGCAACAAAGTGAGACTCTGTCTCAAAATATATGTGTGTGTGTGTGTGTGTGTGTGTGTGTGTGTGTGTATGATCTGTAAGAAATTTAATTTTTGAATATGTTAAGGTTTGCTTTGTGGCACATGATTGAATTTTTTTTAATCTTTCACAGATACGCAAAACTTTGCATTTTCTATTTAAGGAACGAAAGGTATAACATTGTCTATGACATTGAGTTTGCTCAGTCCCTTATTTATTTTTCTCTAGATCTTAAATCTCTGCTAAATCTCTCCAGCTGGGAAAGAGGAATTATGAATTCCCTTACTGTAAAACGTTGTCATCAAGTTCTCCTAACACTTTCAATACTTTTTACTTTATATACTTGGCTGCCATTTTATGATTTATGATAAAAAGTGTTTGTTACAATTATATAATAACTTCTTTATCCTATGCAGTGCTTTTGATAGTTTCACCTTACCGGATATTAATATTGCTACTGTGTTTTGTAAGTAATGAGGCAAACACTTGCTTGGGCTAATTGTACACCAGGACTGTTTTCATTGCTTTAGGATGTTGACTCATTTAGTCCTCAACATCCTATGACAGAGGTACTATTTTTGTTTTGTTTTTTGAGACAGAGTCTCACTCGGTCACCCTGGGTAGAGTGCTGTGGTGTCACAGCTCACGGTAACCTCAAACTCTTGGACTTGAGCAATCCACTTGCCTCAGCCTCCCAAGTAGCTGGGACTACAGGCATCGGCCGCAATGCCAGACTAGTTTTTCTTTCTCTCTCTTTTTTTTTTAAAGTAGAGATGGGGGTCTCGCTCTTGCTCAGGCTGATCTCCAACTCCTAAGCTCAAGCAACCTGTCCGCCTCAACCTCCCAGAGTGCTGGGATTACAGGTATGAGCCACTGGGCCTAGTGGACAGAGGTACTATTATGATCCCCATTTCACAGATGGTGAAATGTCTATGTAGTTGAATAACTTGCCCACAGCCACACAGTCAGTAAGGGACAGAGCTGGGCTTTGAACCTATGAGCCTGGCTCACAGACTGTGCTCTCAACTGTGACCCTTAGACTATTCTGTCCGTTGTCATTCATCCTTGTTGTTCCCTTTATCCAACCTGTTTAATCACATTCCTTCCCTTTTCTCCTCTTGTTCACTGGTGACATTCCTGGACGCTGTCATTCCATGAATGGCTATGCTACCTTCCCTTCCCAATGTGCCTGCCGTATGCATGTCTACTCCAAGCTCTGTCCTCCCACAGCTCCCCCAGTATGAGACATTCAGCCTCCCTCACGTCCACCTCCTTTACCTCTCAACCCCAGATGATGACTTATTTGGAAGCACTTTACTTTTCTCCCCTCTTGCCCTTCCCCTACCCTAACTGGGCTGTGCTAAAATACCCCAGTTCTTCTCCTTGGGCTATTGTTAGACGCTTGCTTACAGAAAGCCTGTTGTATCTCAGTATGTTTTTTTCTTTTCTTAGCACTCTGCTGTTACATAGTCCTAGGCAGTGATCAATATCTACTTACGTGAAATCAGACAGGTCTTTTGTTAAGGATCACTGATCACCTTTGTGCTTCTCCCTATCATTTTTCCCTCTTACAGTCACTGGAGAATCTTTTCTCTAGCACTTTCCTTAGATTGGGCACTCGGAGAAAAGACTCTCTGAATTCAGTCATGCCGAGAATCATCCTTCCCTCACCCTGAGAATATAGAATTCTCCAGTTAAAAGCTTTTCTTCCCATCAGGAAGGCCGATGCTTCTTCCTCTGCGAGTTTCTTGGCTCCTTAACGCCTAGAAGTTTGCCAGATTTTTTTTTTCATCATCTTTAAAATTTAGGAATTGTATCAGAATATGCCCAATTGTGAGTCTTTTTTTATTCACTTCTACCTAGAGCTCAGTGAACTTTGCAATCCACACTCTCAGATTTTTCTTCAACTCAGGTAAAATTTCTTCTTCTAGGTGACTAATATTTCTTCTCCATCTGTCTCTTTTTCTCCCTCTGGAACTCTTACTGCTCACATGTTGGGTGTCCTGGATCTGACCACCCAGGCTTTTATCTTTTCCTCATGTTTCTCTTTCTTTGAATTTGCCTCTGATGTTTCAGAGATTTCTTCAAACTTTGTCTTAAGGGCAAACTAACTGGCTCTAAGTCATCTATGGACTTTAAAAAATTTAAGTTCAAATAGAAATTTTATGTTGTACTTGGATCGCCTTAAAATGCAGGAATTATTTTTTATTCAAGGCTCATCTGTTTCCTGTCTCCTGTGTGCCATTTCTAAGGACAGTAGGAAGAATAATTGCTCCTTCAGGCTGCAGAGCCCATTAGGTGTGATGAGACTCTTCTTTCTCTGCTCACTGGTATGCCTTAAGTAGGCGGTCCCGAGTGAACTGGAGGTGCGGCTGGTGAGAGCACAGGGCCAGTCTCCTGGTAAAGATGCCAGTTCCACGTCCTGCCCTCCAGCTCCCCCAGCACAGAGGCAGCGGGGACACAGCCCACCTGACAGCCCTGCCACCCCCATGTGGGGCAAGAGACTGGTTCAGTCACTTGATGAGAAGCAGCGAGCCTGGCCCCTCCTCCTTGGACACCCAACCCTAAGGTCCTGGCCCTCACTGCACAGCTATCCCGGTCAGGTCTCTGCTGCTCACGCTGTTCCTGCCTATCCCAGCTGATCAGGAGGGTGGCACTGGGACCAGGAGCAGAGTGGAGGGAGGCACACTGAACCCCCACCTTGCCATCACCCCCTACACCAATCTAGAGGCTTCTCGAGGAGATATCCCTGGGTATCCACTTGTTATTATTTATTTCTAGAAATGTGATGGTTTCTGATACCCTGACAATTTGTAGTCCCGTTTTGAAATGAATAGAAAAGCTCAATTAAAGATGATGTGTATGTTTACACAAATTGCTTTTGCGTTCCCTTGTCTCAACTGTTTCTATTTTTTTTAAGTATAATATGTATCTTATACAGAAAAGTGCACTTGTGTGCATCTTTGAACTTCCTAGTTTAAAATGTAAAACATACCAAGATTTTTAAACTTCCTAGTAAAAAAACAGAATTAGGAATGGGAGTACTTATTCTGTTTTACTTATTGGAATCTGCCTGAAGCCACTATGGATGGAATGACGGTGACAATAAAAACGCATTTCACTGAATGCCAGACCTCTCTATTATTGCCTGTAGTCTGCAACTTTTTCTCAATGAACCTGCTCTATGAAGACTAGAATGCAGATGAGCTACAGTCACCTGTGAATGACAAAACGTTAGTCATCTGAACGCACGCACGGAAGGATCTGACTAATGCAGTTCTGGCACTCTCCCACTGATGCAAAGGCACTGGCGAGCTCTCTCTCTTAATAGGAAGTAACACCTGTTAGTTATAGTTAATCGAAAATAACACATTTATATATATATATAGATATATGTTATACTTCAAACCTCTGTTTGTAATAAGGCCTGAGAGCATGGTTCTCCATTAGCTATAGGTTGTGTAAATATCACAAAGACGGCTGGCTACACACACAGATTCTCAGGCCTCGTCCCTAGAAAACCAAAGCTGGGGAACGGACGCAGGAATGGGGCTGCTGGTGACTCACACGCCACGCCCGGAGTGCCACTGCATCAGGCACCATAGAAATAGCAAAGACTAGAACTAGTATTATTTCCTCTGAGTTGTTATTCAATCATGAAGCAGAAAAATCACCAGGCAGAGACAATGGAGAGCAATTCACAAAGAAGGAGCTAAAAATAATTAACTAGCACATTTTCTTAAAGGCTCAACCTTTCTGATAAGCAAAGAAATAGGAAATAAAACTCATACCACTACCATGTGCCACTCTGGGGTGGAATGTTGACAGTGGGGGAGCCCGTGGGGTGGCAGGAGGGGTAAGGGAGCTCTTTGTAAACTGCTGTTCAATTTTGCTATGAACCTGAGATTGTTTTGTTAAAGTCTATTTTTTAAAACAACAACAACAACAAAAAACTCATAACATTTTCCCTTATCAAAGAAGCAAGTATTTTTAACTTATACTACAAAAAGTGTATCAAAAA